ACCACAGGGGTCCCCTGCTGAGAGGGGGCCTAATCCAGCTAATCCTTTCTCTGCACACACACACACACACACACTCACACGTAAGCACACACACAAAGATGTGTTCCGCCAAATGCATGTACATACAGAATAAATTCACATATGCACGCATGCAAACTAATAATTGATGCACCTTATAACATGTTCTGAATCTTATCCATATATGTATCTTTTTTTTTTTAAGCTAAAGAAACCCTTCCAAGTGGGAGGTGAATGTTTTGTATGCACAGTACTTGCACAGTGTGTATTTAATGTTTTAATACTTCAGCTTCAGAGTCGTACGAGCCGTGTGCCGCTTCTTGTGCATGTTTTCCTTAAAAGTGCGGGATGCTTCCGTTGTCAGGCGGCAGAGATGTGCAGAGGGTGGGGCTACGCTGTTTGTGTGTGTTGCATGGAAAAGAGAGAAAGTTGGCAAGGGGGGGGGGGGGCGGGGGTGGGGGGTGGGCTGGGCTGGCTTTGACAGAGGGCCGGGCTGATTGCCACCATGATCTGGCCAATCACAGAGTAGAGCTGAATAGAGCGAAAGGGAGAAAAAACGAGAGTATAAAGAGGAGGGGGGAGTTTAAGGCTGAAAGGAGGGAAGGGGAGGGGAGGGGGGAGGTGGGGGTGATGTCAGTTCCTTAGAAACCTACTTTCTCTCCCGTTCGTCCCCGCAACCCCCCCGTTCCCCTACTTTGAGAATAGCGGGGACCAGGGGTTAATGTTATGCAACACGCTGAATACCCACACTGAGCGCTCCAATACAGTGACACACATAGGACTGCTTCTCCTCTCCTGCCTCTCCTCGGTTCCCTTTTCTCTGCTCCTCTTCTGTGTGGGTCTACTTTTTAAAATTATTAACTTAGCATAAGCATTAAAGCACTTATATTAGGGTTATCAAGATACAAGAATTTTAAACTTCAATACGACGCTTGTTAAGAAATAAATAAATCAAACAATATTGATACCTGTTTTCAAACCAGAGCAACGCTGCAGATGTATTTGTACATATTGGACGGTGTTCCCTCCTCTGCTCTCTGTCTGTCTGTCTAAGACATGGACAGACGTTTTTACACCATTAGGACCACCACTACATTTCTCTTTCTCTAATGAGAAAGCTTCTCTAGCTTTGTGTGAAAAAATATGACAGAAAATCTGTGTTTCTTTTTAGCTTTAATGCCTTTCGATGATATGGATTATTAAAATAATGGAGATTGCGTCATTAAAAACCATGTGGTATCCAGAAGTGTCAAAAATGTTGACAAACTAATGTTGAACCTGGATATATGACACATCTATAGTGAACATTGACAGTCTGACTTGTGAAGGATGTGTGAATTAAGAGAAGGCTGCTAGAGGGCGGTGTTACCATGATGGTCATATTGTTGTTCTTAGGGAAAGAGTTTTATTTCTTTTCATTTAACCAGCAGATTGTCGCAGATTGATGATATTTTGATCCACAAAAATTAATTCAAGTCATTTAAGTCTCCCCAAGAAATATTTTGGTCGCCACTCTCCTGTGTGAGGATTTCTATGAAATGTAAGTGTTTTGGTGTGTTTTCTTCATTAGGGCGGTGTTTTCTTCAGAAGAATTGTCTCAAAGTAAATCCACGAACGACACTCACTAAACTATTACATGGTTTTTCCACACATTCACACAAAACTGATCACAAGGGAGTGGGCAGGGTCGATCAGTGAGCGGCCTGTGTGATGTTGGAGCACATAGAGAAGCTGCTGCGTACTCTTGTCTGCTTGCCCCGTGTCTTCTTTTCCACTCTTTAGTTGTTACTGTGAATTTGTCCAATTACATGTAGCATCTTTTTTTTATGTCATGTCTTCAAGCTGTGAGGGACATATGTAAATAAACATCTCAGGAAGATTTCAGGGCTGGGCTGTACTGAAATTTGGTCCTAGAAATGTTCAGGAGTCCATTGAACACCGCTTTAGAAAAAAAAAAAAGGATTGCGAGTGAGTGATGTGCAAACCATCAGATATGGATGAGAAAAGGAAATGAGTGAGCAACGAGGTGTTACGAGACGCCTTTGAAAGTCTGTGACACTTTGTTTTAGGTCGCAGCAGCTTGAGCGCTGAGCGGGACACCTTCAAGATATCAACACATGCCGGGGTCAACCAGTTTTCTTAGCAGAAGGAATATGGGAATATGTGTCATTGAAGAAACACAGCTGTGTGTACACACACACATACACACACACTCACTCACTCACACACATTTTCCTGGTCCAGCTGGGGTGTTAATTTCACCCCGAGGCTGTGTGAGTGTTGACCCCAAAACGCTGTAACCTCGTGAAGTGTGGAATTCTCTAAGCCTGAGGCCGTGATGTGCTGTTTCCTGTAGAGAGAGCGAGTACATTCCTTTGACTTGTCCCATTCCTCGCCGCTTGCTGTAAACTCGGGGTCTTTGGGTGGCAGTCCCCGACTTAGAGTGTGTTCAAAACAGACAGTGACTTCCTCAAAATCTCCTCGTCTGTATTGTTGTTTAAACAGACCTTTAGCTCTTTTCTTGCACGTAAAAAAAAAAAACCCAAAAAAACTTCCCAGTTTCCCCCTTGATGGTGCGTTTCAGCCAAGCCTCAGGCTAGCTTTCCATCCGAGCATTGAGTGTACCAGACAAGTCAACTTGTTAGTGCTGTGTCAGTGTGCGTAGGGTCTAAATCAGTTCCATGCGTGCTGTTTTGAAGGCAGCGCTGGTGTAGCGTAGCCGTGTAGCAGTGCAAAGCATGTCGCTCCGGTTAGCCCCGGCCTGCTATTAATGATGAGTATTATAAACATGCCTTCAGACAGGATCGGATGGGAATGCTGTTTGGGTCCAGAAAAAAAGAAATCAAGTGTGTTTTCTCTAATGCCCCAAGACATGGCCCCCTCCCTCCGGGTTCCATTGGTCTGACTGGGTGGTCCGGCTCAGCAGAACAGGCATGCTTATGTTCAACTTTAATGCTATTACAATGGGCTGAAAATATTCAATCTATGCCTGCTGTTGCACGAATTGAGCGGAATTGTTAAATTGGATTAGGGCGTGATAAAATGTTACAGATTTTTCACACAGTCGGCTCTCTGACTGGGTGTTTTTTTTCCCCCCATTTTGTTTGTGTGTGTGTGTGTGTGTGTGTTGTGTGTGTGTGTGTGTGCGTGTGCGTGTGCGTGCGCGCGACTGTGTGTATGTGTGAGACTTGCCTCAGCTTTCACCAAGCATTCACTTACTGATGATGGAAGATCTCAAATCCTCTGCTTGTAAATCAGACACAGATTTGCTAAACAGCAACATACACACACACACACACACACACACACACACACACACACACACACACACACACGCATATTTAAAATATTTTTCTTGTTCAAAGAATGCATTTGTTCAATTTGGATTTTTTTTCTAGATTTTACTGATGCTTGCATGCCTGTAATTCCCTACATTTGTATGTATGTTTATGCGTGTTTGCGTGTGTGTGTGTGTGTGTGTGTGTGTGTGTGTGTGTGTGTGTGTGTGTGTGTGTGTGTGTGTTTGTGATAGAGACTTTGCCAGATTTGCCTTGGCTGTACTGGGGTGGAGCAGGGCAGCTAAACGACCTGAAAGGCTGCTTTTGTAGCCGAGGCTAGCTCAGAGCGCACGCACAGGGCTTAGTCCCACCACGATACTGGGAGCAAAGCCTGGAAGAGAGCCTCTCTCTCTCTCTCTCTCTCTCTCTCTCTCTCTCTTCATCAAACACACACACTGTCACACACTCACACACACACACACACACACACACACACACACATACACACACACACACACACGCAGTTAACGTGGCCTGACACAAATGAAAGCAGAAACATTGAGCTGTTTTTTATGTGAGATATCGATTAGCTGGAGGATTTGTGTTTCTGGATTCTAAGTTGTTGGCAAGTTTTTCATTTGAGAGTCACAAGCTGGCTGTGAGCAACGTGCTGCTGTTAAAGATACTTGTCTGATCAAATGAATGCCCTGGTGAGCTGTCTATATGAGTGTGCATTGCAGTCAGGATCAGCTCTAGAGCTCCAGGTGTTTTAACTCATGAAGTGTGTCAAATGTGTGCGTGCTCTTTCTTAGTCGTATCCAGGGCTCATTGTTTTCAGTTTGTCATTTTAAAATGGTTATATTTAACATTTTTAGGTTACTTTGCTGAAATTGTAAATGTTTGATGGGTTTAAGATGTAACTCCTTCTTCAAAGTCTGGACATCAAGGACCACAATGAAAGTCTTAAAGCCCTTTTTCAGACTGCGCCACAATGATGCTCAACCATTATCACGCCTCTGTGCTTTTATATTGATGCCACAACGGTGTGATATCGGTGTCCCAGTCAGTGGAACAGACACACTCAGACACGCACACAGGACACAGGGCTGCTCTGCTGCTTTACAGTAATCCAGTCTCGTCCCTGTAACGCCTCTGTTACTATCTCTGATGCACACTCAGTTGGTAGGCCCAACTTGACCCCGTCGTCATGCCTCTATATGATATTCACATTGAAGACGTTACAGAGGCGTAAATATCTCACATTGAAGTGGCTTTATTCCAAACGCTTTAGTCTATGAATCAGTGTCATCCTCGAACATTTACAGAAATGTGCTCCATGGGATCTTATCTCATGAAGCTTAACTAAACTTCTTTTTTTTCTTTTTTTTATCACAAATAGTTCTGACTTTATGTTTCTGTTGAAAGAGTAATTTGTTAAGTCCAAACAGTGGTAGGTATGTAGCAGAAACATCTTACAGTGTGTGCATGGGAGGTGTCAGACCAAAGCTGAATCAGTTAACACCTCCTTTTGGGAGTACTTATTGGAAAAATCTGTTCAAGCTGAAAATAATGAGCCTTCAATGTGTTCCATTTTAATCAGAGTCATTCAACGTGAATGCATCGAGTGGAAGCGCTTTGATTTTTTTTTTTTTTGCAGAGAAGCTTTGAACTTTCAAACTTAACAGAATTCTCTTCTTTGTCCAGTTGGCGGGCGTGTGAACCAGGAGCTGAGGTACACACGGCAGAAGATAGGCGAGGAGGCCATGTTTAACCCTCAGCTGATGATCCAGACGCCGCGGGATGAAGGAGCCAATGTTTTAACGGTGGAGGCGCTCCTGCAGCACCTGGATTCAGCTCTCAGAGCCAGCAGAGTTCATGTTTACCTTTATAATAGGTAACCTTCTTTTTCATGTTGCTGCTGTACAACAGGCCATGCCCCCCCCCCCTTTTTGAAAATTTGAATTCAGCGACATCATTTCAAGAAGTCACCTTTGAGCTTGTAAAGAAAAGTCTTTGTGCACACACACAAAATAATTCAGCATATTTACCCTTTCTGTCCCCACTAATGAGCTGCACTGGTAAGTAACACAATTTTGCAACATCTTCTTAGCGTAATTCTTTTAGGACTCAGAAAGGAGATGTCACAAAACTGAAGTACTTTGAAAATTGCATGCAAACTCTTACACACTGTTTACTTTGTAAAAATACTTTAATTGGCAATTTTTACCCCAAACATTGTTAGTAAGTGCTTTTGTTAGTGAGCAGTGTGTAAGAGTTTGTGAGTAAACAGCCAATCATAGTTGGGGATTTTGGGGTGGCACCTTGGGTGGCCAATCAGATTTCTGGGGGGGGGGGGCATGCCACCCCTCTGGACACACCCCCTCTGACTTTGTCACATCTTCATGACTCCTCTCAAAGGTGCTTATGACATGAAGGAGGGAAGTGGAAATAAACTATATGATTGTCTTACAATACATTAATGGTCTATGTATTGTGATATCGTTGTTATCGTTTGCCATGCATCACGTATCGTATCATACGTAACCCTGCGATCCCCTCCCCTCATATGAGATGACTTTATTGCCTCCAAGGGGACATCTGCCTGGCTGTTATAGTGCCAAAGAAACATACAGCTCAGAGCAGCTTGATGTCAAAATAAAAACACTCAACACACACGACTGGCAACCAGAAACGTAAATCAAGTCGAGCATAAAGACACTACATTGAAATCGAAGATAAGATATGATAAAGAGCGCTCCTGTTGGTTGCCTTCAGTTATGTTTTGGCTTGCAGTTCGCCGTCTTGATGAAAGACGTATAATTATCGATCATCATTCTTTGATCACTCTAGCCTAAGGGGCTCCTGTTGTTACAAAGCAATGATGAAAACTGAACATCGATTCTTTCCTTCTCCTTTTCAGACAATGGAAATTGGAACACTTATGCTACAAATCAGGAGAACTAGTCACAGAAACTCATTTTATGAATCAGGTAAGATATATTGAAGAGGCATTATCATCATCCTTCCATCTCTGGTGATTTTCTTTCTTTCTCTATCTTGCTTCCTGTCGTCAATGTGTGTCAATCCTGTTTTTGTTCTGGGCCCTGTTTTTGTCCAATTAGATCATAGAAAAGCTACATCCCTGCCTCATCATCACCCCTTTGGACTGTTTCTGGGAGGGCGCCAAGCTCCATTCAGGAATGCTCTATCTCCCGTGAGTACACTGAACTCCTTTTTTTTTTTTTTTCTTTTTTTTTTTACTGGACTGAATCTGTATTTTATGATGTGTTTGTTCAATAACAACATGCCAAAACAAGCATGCATATTATTAAACTGACCAATCTCTTTTAAGCATCCTGTCACATAATCAGACGTACTCAAAAAGAAATCTAACTAAGCACATAAAGGACTTTCCTCATGATGAGGCCAGTTTGCAAACAGATGAAAATGCATCCATTGAGCTTATGAGTGCTTAGAATGACAGGAACAGTATTGTAACAGTACTTTCAGATTGTTTTCAAGACAGAGGACGAGAGACTGTGGGGATTTGCTGCTTGTTTTTACCCCCTTTGGTAGAGGCTGCCCAAACACGCTCAGCCCATCTAAAGAGACACTAGAGAGAAACAAGAGTGTGTGTGCATGTGTGTGTGTGTGTGTGTGTCCTGAACTCGTCCCCCTGTAAAGGCTCTATTGTAGTGGTTGCTGGCATGCGTATCGCTGGCGATAGTTTCTCTCCAGCCCTGGGCCTCACACCATTGTCTGGCCCTTCTGTTGCTAATGGCCTGCTGCTACAGTAATACTCAGCAGACCTTTACCTCTGCATGCATGTGTGCATGCACACAGTGTGGGACACTGCCAACCCTGCGTATGTTTTCATTATTTATTTTGCAGATGCGTGAAACTGAGTGTCTCCTCTTGCATCTGTGTCATCAGACTTCATGGATGTGTGTGTGTGAGTGTGTGTGTGTGTTCATCTTAGATGGTAAATAAGGTTTTTACTATGTTCTGGTTGGGAGGCTGGGAATAATAACCCAAGCCTGGTTAAGCACATACAATGTAGTCTGAATGACGGAGAGAGAGAGAGAGAGATTCAGAGAAAGAGAGGTTGGAATGTGTGAGGCAAAGAGGAGACAAGGACTGGTCTTCAGCAGGAATTCAGCACTGCACCATTGCATGATGGGAATTTGTCTTCATTTATTGTATTCTGTCATCAAGCAAGAAGGAGATTTTTCTCTTCATTAAAAACCTGTCGGCTTTGGAGGTGAAAACTTGACTCAAACATGTGAAAAAGTGCAACTCAACCTTCAACAAATTCTGTTCTCTCACCCTTTTGTCCACCCGTACAGTTCTTGTCTTAACTGCAGTGTCTTTTGAAAAAGATAATCCAGCAGAAAAACAAAGAAACTCCTCGCAAATTTGCATTTAACAATCTGAAAAGTTGCACTTCTAAACACAAACTCCAAATATAACCGATAAAACCCTTCTGATGTTTTCACACATGTTCAAAACTCCTGAACACTTTCCAAATGTTTCAGAGTGAGCTGCACGTGTGCCTGATCAGCCCCGTCTCTATGACATTTATATGAAAGGCGAGACTTGAAAAGGTCGTAATTCTCCCGCCTTGAATTGGCAATATCAAAGGGGCTTCAGAATCCGATGCACAGCCCCTCAAAAAATGCTTTAAGTCCCATTTAAACAGAATCCTTTTTAATACTATCTAAGGAATTCAAAATGTTTGATACTTACATGATACATTGATACAATATGATTTAAATTGATACAATGCCTACAGCTTAACTTAAATATTTGGTGCCTAGGACTTCTATTTTTGTTGCCGTGCTATTAAAACCGGTATCTTTGTGGTTTCATTTTAACTAGTACCATATCGTAAGTTTCAAATTCTGGTACAGTGACAGCTCTTCCACTCTGTCTGCAGAGGTAAAGACCCTTACCAGTGGACCAACTTTGACCCTAAGGAGTTCCTCGAGGACTTGCGAAAGGCAAACTTCCCCGTTGAAGGTTTCGAGGAAATGTTAGAGAAGGCGGGCGTCGGACACGGCTACATGGATAGACCCTGTCTGAACCCTGCTGACCCTGACTGTCCCCTCACTGCGCCCAATAAGAACTCAACAAAGGTAGGCACCCACTTTATGTAGGCGCAAGCTTTTTTTTGGGGGGCATAGAATATCCTCTGCACAAGTTTTATTTGTTTTGGTTTAACGTCAAGCCTTTAAGTCTGAGCCTAGCTGCTGACAGTTATTTTTCTCGCCTGTTGCTTTTATTGCACCAGCCATTCGACGTGGCGCGGGCCCTGAGAGGAGGCTGCCACGGTCTGTCCAGGAAGTACATGCACTGGCAGGAGGAACTGATCGTGGGAGGGACCACCAAGAACGGCAGCGGACCCCTGCTCAGGTAACATACCCACACTTACACATACACACCCTCATAAACACTGCCGCGATCACTGCAGGGCTTATTCTGGAAAGAGTGTGTGTTTTTTTTGTGTTCTTTTTAACGCTCTCCGGAACGGTGCGTGCGCGCATGAGTGTGTGCGTGCGTGTGCGCTCGCTGCTGTAAATCTTGCAGTCATTAGCAGATTCCAGTGAAATCTTAGAGCTCCAGCTGTTCCTGCTCAGCTCTCACTGTTCTGCCTGGACACTACCTACTCATACACACACTCACACACATACACACATGTGCACAGGATGATCTATTGCCTGGCTAGTTTGTGCAAATATACAGCGATTTGGGGTACATGGCCTTAATTCCAGCACAAGCAGCAGGACAAAGCTTAAAGATTATGCGGTATCCCAATGGAGATATAATATGTACAGTACTAAGAGAGTAACACGTGCGCTCTATAACTGTTTTATATCCATTAAATATACAGAGAAATAAAAAAAATGCATCTTTTATTTATTTTATTATTCTTAGACAGGGTCCGTTACACAAACTTTGCTACATTTAGCATTTAATGTAAAAGTGTAGTTTTAAATGGTGCACGGATATGCATGTACACACAAAGGAAAAACACACACATACACACTCTGACGCATTAACGCACATACTGGTAACAGAGTACAGTGGGGTGCGTTGTTTGTTTTGTGGTCGTGTTTTTTCCTGGCAAGGTTGGGTCATTAGGGTGTCTGTGCGTGCCTGCCTGCCTGTGTGGGTTTCTCTCTCTCTCTGTCTCTCTCTCTGTGTGTGTGTGTGTGTGTGTGTGTGTGTGTGTGTGTGTGTGTGTGTGTGTGTGTGTGTGTGTGTGTGTGTGTGTGTGTGTGTGTGTGTGTGTGTGTGTGTGTGTGTGTGTGTGTGTGTGTGTGTGTGTGTGTGTGTGTGTGTGTTACTGCTGGCACTCAGTTTCTACATCTTGTTTACTAACTGCCACCATTACCTCGATTATCACCATATTACAGGGATCACATTCATAAAGAGAACGGCTAGCTCACGTCGACTCCCGCGGTTCGTAAAGTTTGACGAGCTGACACCGACTGACTCGACTGCCTCGAACTTTTTGAAGCTGCGGTCCGTTCCAAAGTCATTTTTGTAATGAAGTTATTCGCGGCGATTCTTTATGGGCCGTCATCGCTGTGTGCACCAGGGCGGTGCATTCCTCCTCGTTTCATTAGATACCACAGCTCTCTTAAAAAAAAATCTGTCAGAACACGATCAGGAATCTGCCAGATTAGGACCGGAAACTTATTTCATGGGGTCTGGCTCCTTCCTTTGTCGCTATAAAAGCCAGTCTGTACATTTCCTGAAATGAAATAAAAATCGATTGTGTCATCCAGTGTAGCAGATAATATCTTTGGAAGGAATAATAGCAGTGAAGCGAGGTCACTGGTTTTGATTAAATGAATAAATAAATAAATAAAGGCACAGATTTCTAATACCTTCCAAAGTGTCATGGTAACACAGAATAACCATCACTAATAGACAGCACATTTTAGGCTTTAATAAATCAACGTTTTTATTCCCTCATGTAAACTTGATGTGTTCAAGTAAAGCTTGTTTCTCATTGATCTCTTTTTTTTTTTTTCTTTCCCTCTTTCATCCTTTCCATCGTCTCCTCCTCCTCTCTTTGCCGTCCTCCGTGCAGTGCCCAGGCCTTACAGACCATGTTCCAGCTGATGACTCCCAAGCAGATGTTTGAGCACTTTCGGGGCTACGACGATGTTTCCCACATCAACTGGAACGAAGAGAAGGCTGCAGCTATACTGGAAGCCTGGCAGAGGAGATACTCTGAGGTAAGACACTCAGAAATAGGCAAGAGAGAGAGAGAGAGAGAGAGAGAGACTGAAAAAAGAGGGCAAGGGAGGAAAAAAGGGGGAAAAAGAAATCTACCCTAAATCCTCTACAACCACATTGTAAATCACCGGCCGGATACAGGTGAACATGGAAAGGCCCCATCCAAAGCCGGGGCCCCTGATAGATCCTCCAACCACTGTTGGTGTGTGGTAAAGGGCTGAAGCTCTCGCTGCTAGTAGAGAGGAGCAACAGGCTGAGCAGGTCTGGAATACATTAAGGGTGTGCTGAATCTCTCTCTCTCTCTCTCTCTCTCTCTCTCTCTCTCTCTCTCTAACTCACGCACAGACGCACACACTGACACACGAAAAAAGTTCACACACAATCTCTTTCCCAGCTGTGGCCCCATTGGTGGCTCATGTGTGACATCATCTGGTCTTTGTTTTGGGGGCCCCAACCTCTGTTCGACATGGCGTGACCTTGTGTGTGTGTGTGTGTGCATACATGTATGTGTGTGTGTATCTGTGTGTGTGTCCCAATGTCCATTCATCTTGGGGCCCAGGGATCACTGATAGAAAAGAGGGTTTTAATTCAGAAATGGAATGAAGTGTTTTTATCAATGAAAAGAACAAAAAAAAAAAAATACTGTATTCTGCGTGTGTGTTCATGCACATGCATCAGGTGTGTCCGCTTGAATACTATGTGCATGCATGTGGGGGTGTGTGTGTGTGTCTGACATATGCGCGAGTTCACACGTGGGTTTCGAGAGTGTGTGTGTGATCTAGTGCGTGCTTCCTAATGTGTGTCAGCCAGCATCGCTCCCCACTGAGCAGTAAGTGCAGTACAATGTTGAAGCCATCTGTCTGCCCGAGACGGTGAAAGAGAGAGAGAGGATGGCTCGGGGTGCTGTCTGCAGATTCTCACAAATACCTCCCTCAACAGAGGCAGAGCTCAGTATTTACAGCTGTGATTCGTTTTTGTCATCTCAAGACACGAGGTGATTTTTTTTTTTTTTTACTGCTGCAAGTCGGGCGTTGAAATAAACCGCAATTCTGTTGTTTTTACAATAAAGACATCGAAAATATCTGAATTTATGGAAATAAATCTGACATAGTCTCTATTCTCTAAACAAGCACTGCTTTTTAAAAATCGACATTGCTATATTTCACCTGTTGGATGGGGCTCTGGGTATAATGCTGATGCTTTCACATCACTTTGATTCAGTCAGATGACGCTCAGCTTACCGTCAGACGCAATCAATACATTTTTAGAATGTGAATGAAGCATTTTTAAGGATTAGCTAAACTTGGAAGCTTGTGTTCTCTTCTGCAGGCATATTAAAGAAAACTAGAGAAAATGCAATGGCCTTTACTCCAGAGTGACCTGCACTGATTTAGTTAGTAAATACACACACGTACAAATGTGCTGATTTGGTTCTAAAGCAATTTGAAAGAACAAGATAGTAGCAAATTACAGATTAACACAGCATCATTAACATTCATTATGAATTTTAAAGTTGTGCTGCACTGTCTAACGTTAACACAGGGATCACATAGAGTCACTTCTTCTCCTTTTGCCTCATTACCTGGTTTGGTTTAAGTTGTCTTTCCTCCTATCTATTATAATTCTTAATAATGCTCTTCCTCTCGTTTTCCTCTCTTTGTCTTCCTTGTCTGTGTATTGTTTCTCTGTAGGCCGTGTTGCAGAGTGTGGCAGCAAATTCCTCCCAGAAGGTTTTGTCTT